TCAATGCATAAGCCCACTTTTAGATGACACGCTTGCCCTTGTCTTCTGTGTGTGTCACAAGCACTCAAGTTCCGTGCTGCTGCTGTGAGCTCATCTCGACCTTTCAACTCCTTCCGCATCTTAGACCTTGACGCACGTTTGTAACTCATAGGAATCTGCACATCCTCGGCGAGCTGCATCGTCACGCTTGTCACTACGTAGGCCTTGAGGCGGGTGGATTGTTGTCACTTCCGCTTCGATCACGATGCATCGATGCTGCTGTCGTTCGGCGACGACTGTTGCTCCTTGTGTGGCTTCCAAGTACCATCGTCGAAAGCGTCACGTTGACCGGCCTTGGCCTTCGAGACTCCTACTCGATCTCCACGCTGCTTTTCCCTTTTTTTGTGTTTTATCTTCGCTTGGAATCTACCACTGAAGCTGCTGGCTCGGCAGTCTTCTCTGCGTCTTCGCTTGTCCGCACTGAGTCACCACTCTGCGTCGCTGACTCAACTTCAAGTTCTTCGACTTGGCCTTGGATTTCACCAGCAACGGAGAGCTTTTTTCTACGCTGCTCTCTTCGCAGCAAGTTCTGCAGGCAACTACAGATACGTAGACATCGTTGTCCGGATCGGCACGATCGAGATCTCCACAGGTAAGTCGTAGTCTCCGTAGCTGTAAGCGCTCATTAGAAGTTGCTCAGTGTACACGCTGTGCACAGTTTCTTATCATGCGCCTTCATGTTCTCATCTCGACACGTCGTCACAGATTCTGCGCGTAGGTTCAGCAGCTTGTAGCCGTTGGCCTTCTCGCGATATTTAAGTAATAATCACATTTGCGTCCATGAAGTGAACTTTTCCTTCCTTTGACGAGAGTATTCGGTAATGTGAGCTCTATCAAGCATCCCCACGTGCGCAGCACGCTAAGCTCTGGTCGCTCTCCGTAAAGCGCTTTGTACGGGAACAGCTTGTCCATCAGCGCCTGCGTCGGCGTCTTTTCCATCGTCTCAATAGCATGTAGGAAGGCCTCTCCCCACAGTGAAACTGGCATCTGCGTGGCCCTTTAGTCCTCTGTGAAGGAGGCGCCCACTCTCGGACCGAAATACAATTGCTAGAAGATTAAGCGATATATATGTGAAAAGTAAAAATATAGCTAATGACAAGGACACGCCATAATGTAAAATGGTCTTTAAGACAATATCTTGCTATAGGACCAAACTCTTAATTATGTTTTCACAACTCATCGCCTTGTACTAATCAGCATTTTACTGCTATATTATTGTGCACAGGGACTATCGAGGTGTACCACCTCATGGTTGAGTCTATTTACTTTGTGCTTGACGTGTTGAGACGAGGTTGCTGCACCGATAGAAGCTGCAACATTCAGATTTTGGCGTTAAATCTGGTTACAGCTCTCATTTTGTAGCCTCACTCGATAAGTATCATTGCGGAATGTGCTGTCCTCAGATCAACCGTCATGTCAACAACCAAAATTTGCTTGTCATCTTCACCCAATATTCAACGAAAATACCGATGTGTGTGTTTTTTTCTTTTCATCTACGATACTATATAATATTGGTGCCATAATTTTGCAGTACTAAAACACACACCTGTTTAAATTAATAGCTTTAATAACATGACTTGACGCAATCTTTCTATATTGAAGCATATTTAAAATTTATTTACATAGCGGATAGTTCGCTGTTAAAGCTGCCAGGACTCTATCCTTACCTTTTCAAGCTTCTCCAACCTGGTAGCATTACAGAGCAACCACGTAGTTATATCTAACGTCCACAAGGTACCAACTTTTCAAGTCATCAATTACCATTGCATCAAAATTAGTATATTTCAGCAACCAACTTTTCACCTTTATGAAGTCGAAATTAGATCGTTGATTACGTATAACTCCTGCACCTTTGTTTCAGTGATGGCGTCGGATCGTCTTGTCTGTATTGGTGGGTATAAGTGCGTATTGGTTAATTTTATATAGCAGCTTGTTTTACTCATTTCATACGCAACACCACAGTTTAAAGATCAAACTTGAGAACAGCAGTTCGGCCTGAGCGAAATTCAGCAGCGGTGTATTCAATAGAGGATACCGATAATGACGTCATCCTATTTGACGGACAATTCTATATTGAGCCGATTGTGGCACGATTCTACCTGAAGGCACTTTTATCATAATACGACACTTAATTAAAGTAAATATTTATCTACTTTCATTAACTGATGTAATATCGTATACATAATCGGGTAAATGTACTATAAAGTATTATATTGACGGGATCATTTATAATTATTGTGTGTTCTACTCAATAATTCCGCACGTGGTTCTTTAAACCAATCGCACGCCGAATCGCGTAAAACTCACTGTCGGCATATATACACATTTGAACAGAGGTGATTCGAGCTGACTTGCGTTTCAGCCCCGCAATCGCTCACTGAGGCCACGTTCACGGCTCTCACTGAGCCGCTAGCTACGACCGAGTGCACGACCCACGAAGCTCTCGAAGGCTGCAGTGCTCACCCGTCTCAAGCTCGCAGTATTCTAGTCGAAGTCGCCCGTCTGGTTGGTGTACAGTGCGCTGGGAGAGTGCCCTTAGCCGCTGCTGCGTTGACAGTCAAGCCTGACTGGGGACAGTGTTAGCATGCCGATGAAGCCGCAAGACCTGGGACTCCAGGACAAGCACCAACGGATTCATAATAAGGCAGAAGTACTGAGCCTTGTGTGCCAGGACGCCGCCCAACGTCCGCGCGAGAGACGCAACCTTCGACGTTGGCAGCCTTGCGTGCTTCGCCGTGCCCATCGCGGGAGCGAGCGCCTCCTCAGTCGTTTTTATCCGCAGCATATCCAGCTAGTCACCGAGCTCGCGTATCACTAAGCACATCGACAGATATTTAGAGCAGCACCGCCTTCAACTAGTGGTACAAGGCGTCGTCAAAGACACTGTTGGGATGCGTGATTCATCAGGCAAGATACTAAATGTTTTTGCTGCAAATGGAGCCACGTTTGACGCTATTATGCACAAGCTTTGGGAGAATTTCAAGTGCCATATTAAGGGCCAGGCCGTTATAGAAGGTGATACATGGACTTGTGTTGAGCCGAGCAGTCCACATGGAACAATGTGATGCCGTTTAAGGTGAATGGGCGCATAATTCCGACGTCAAAGTCTGAAGAACCATGGAGCCGCTGGGTTGCTTCACTCCGCTGTGACACGACCACCTTGATGATTTACACCTATGGTCTAAGTATATCAAATGCATGGATTCTCGAGGACTTCAAGGTGGCGTGTATCCGACCAGAGCGCACAGACCGTTCTGGTGATGCTGCAGAGGCGTCAATTCTAGAGTTGGTGGAGCGACTCCGTGAAATTTGGGGAAGAACGCTAAAGCAGAGCTGTAGCATGGCGAATGTGGGCGAATCAAAGCGTACGAATTTAGATCGCTTAACATTGGAAAATGCCGTGCTGGGCACCCCAGCAGCTAGGATATTGCCGATGCTTCAGGCAGCTGATGTGCGAGTTGAGCAACACCTAGCAGACCTCATTAAATCGGCTGATTTGGCTCTTGAAATTATTGATGCATCGCTTAAAGACAACGGACAGCTACACTATCACTGGGATGTTTGGATTGCGTTTAGCAAATCAGAAGGACGCACTTGAAGCGCGCAAAAAGGGAATTTCAAGGTATCCGCGCCAATACTCCTCTACGACCTATGTCGGCTGTGATTGATCCGCTAGTCTCTAAGGAGAACATGGAGGACATTGAACACCGCTTTAGCAAGTCATTGTATTAGCTTTCGAGCTGAATAGTTTGCCACGAAAAACATTCTAAACGATTATTGTTATCAATACCTTGAACATCCAAGCTCTCCTGTCTCGCGTCGTGTCGATTTTCTCTTGACAAGAGGCCAGTCGGATCGAAATGACCCTGCACTATCAAGCCGCAGTGCCGAAAGACGTTCGCCATTTTAAGCTTTTCGAAACGTGTAAACGTTCCAATCACAAACGGAAGTAGATCGCTACCACTTGCCTCAACAAGAAGAATGGACAGTAGGTAGGCAGGAAAATAGGAATCACTCCGATACTCCGGAGTAAGTGAATTACTTCTGGGTCTCGGCGAATCGAGGCGCCATCCAAAATCCATACCGGATTGGAGCCAGGGTACTGGCGAACCTTTCCAAGACTTGAATAGGCAACATTTCTGCAGCACGTGAAGAACTTGACACGGTCGAATGCTCCGTCAGTGTTATAAAAGTCAATGATTCCATCAGCTCCCAGAAACGACAGTACTGAAACGCGTGGCTTAAGCTGAAAATCACCACGAATTGCAATCAATCTTGTATCCTATAAGTGAAAAAAGTTGCTTGCGGATCATTCCACGGTTATTAAATGAACCTTCATCTAAAAAGACAAGATTTCGGTGGCACCAGTCGACAGACAAAGCGAAAAACGTCTTTCTCTTTAACATGCATCGCTCTTCGTTCTAGCACCTTGCGAGTAAATCCACAACCGAGCAATATTCTCCACACATATGCCCTTATAATGCTCATTTGATGAGTCTTGAGGAAAGATTCCTGGGCCTCATCTAAATAGGCTAGCAGCGGCATATGTGTAGAGCTCACATAGCCACTTTCGATGTGCCTTTGTAAATGCTCGCGCTGAACTTGCTTCATCCCGCTGGTAGGTCCAGGTTTTTTCGTAGACGTTGATCCAGTTCCCAATCGTCTTTGCCGATTTGTGATAACTTCGATCAAGGTCCTTACGCGAATATCCGAGGCAATTAAATCCGAAGAGGCAATGAAATACAGTGTTGGGGTGGGCATGCCGGCTTGTTACTGCTTCCTCCATTGATACGAGAGAGTTATGACGAGGCTCTTTCTGTCCAGCATTGCAAACAATAACATTAGCATAATAAAATTGATATGTGTAATACTTCACATCTCCACCAGGTAAAAAACTGTACCACTCTTGTATAATACTGCAACCCCCCGCCAGGCAAGACGTCGCTGCAAGAGTGGGAGTGGTAGGGTAAAACTGACCTGTCTCACGACGGTGTAAACCCAGCTCACGTTCCCTATTAGTGGGTGAACAATCCAACAATTGGCGAGTTCTGCTTCGCAAGGAAACTTGCTGTTGCGAATTTGCTTAGCTGCTATTTTAACCAATCTGATCAGCCTGTGGCGGTTCGACCAAAGTGTAAATTTGGACGGAATTGACAATAGCCCGTGAAGCATGGAATTGATTATTAACACTGCATTTAAGAAGAAGAAAAGATCTCACTCGTGAGTTTTTTCTTCTTCTGTATAGTTGTAATTTATTCAGTACTGCGTACAATAGATACCCGTCAGTAACAATCGTCAGGTTAAAACCTTTACGCACTCCGCAGCCCGTGCGACCTCAATTCGAATGCAGCGCGAAACATACTGACTACAAGGCGTGAGGTTACTTGCGAAGGAAACAAATGAAGCTGATGCTAACCTTCAATTTTTAGTTAAATTTCACACATCGTTACCGCAAACTATTACTTCTTGAAGTATTGTACCTGGATTCCAGGTAGTCTTGGAAATCTTCCCTCATCGTAACCAGATGCCCGTGGATGGTCTTGTCTTCGAGGATTTCCGCACTGACGTCGGTCATGGAAATCTTCGTGTTGATACCGCTTCCAGTGGTCACGATAGTGCCCTCAAGGCTTTGAAAAATTTCAAAAAAAATCGGCAAACCTGGACACGGTAACGCTTGGGCTGTCCACACACCCTTCTAGGAGTTGTAAGCATTTCTTCCCGTGCAAAACGCCATCGTACTTGACATGGCAATTCTTGGGGCATTCTCTGTTTTCAATGTTTTCGCTGCTATCAAGGAGGTTCACAGTGGTACCGCCGCCAACGGTAGCGACGACAGTGGCCACAACGGAGAGAAGACACAAAAGTTTCATTGGGGGAGGGGCCTTTGTGTGTAGGCGGACGCGAATTGAAGAATGACAGCGAACCCCGTAGTCGCTATGGCGCCTATCTTCCATGGAGAAGAGTTCACAGTTAGTCTGCGATACATTCCTTAACACAGTACAGTACTGCACCCCGTTTTCGCGGGGGTGGACCATATATGATTTGCAAATAAATCATATTTAAGCTTACAAACAATAGCTTATTTGGATTCGAGATCATCACATCCGAAAGTTTATCAAAGGTCCAAGGGCGCAAAAACGGGGTGCAGTACTGTACGTAATTTCGAGCGATGCTGTAAAAATAAAACTCGCATGATCATCACGTCACTTCTAAATGCGACCTCTAGTATTATTATCACGGGTGCTGCTTGCTTATTAATACTAGTTTTGCAACCAACTCGGCAAGCGCTCTACTACAGGTACTCTCTTGATTGATATTCTCAGTGAGTCACTGGTGCTGGAAGTCCTTCGCTAGCCGTTGTACGGCTAGCGAAGTGAGACGCTGCGTGTTGGCCAAACATGCGGAAAAGGAGCCGTGTTTGAGGCAACCTACCGCACAGAGACCAGTGCTGCGTGTGTTAAAAGCGGAATATGCCGATGCTTTGTCTTAAGGAGAGAATATAACAAACACAGGTTAGAATCTGAATAACACCGTAGCCCTTCCACAATACGCACGGACAGGGCAACCTGGTGCTCAGCTGCGCACAGCCTTGCACAGGAGATGGATGAGCAGGCAACGTGCATCATGGTTGGCATTGGTGACACTAATGTGACTACGAAGTGTGACACCAGTGGATCTTTGAGTGGCTTCCTTCATTGTCCAGAAAGCCCCAGCAGCCCCAGGGTCCTGACCAGCCAGCGCCGTCCAGCGCACACCACAGGGCGATGCCGGGTCTCAGCGCGTCGGGGCTGCCACCGGAGGCGCTCCACGCTGGGGACACGATAGAGTATTTCTCCCGTGCCTTTGTCTGCGGCGACCACCGAGGGTATCGTCGCGCCGTCGTCACCTGTGTCGACGGCGGTGACGACGTGGACTTCCCCGTCGCTGTAAGCACTGAGGAACCGATACCGACGGACATGATGGTCAAGAAGGTGAAAGACTGCCTCGGCAACCCCCTGTCACGCGTCAAGACAAAGTGGCGTAAGGTTCGGACGCTTGAGTTGGTCCCAGGAACCTTTTCCGCTCCAACGAGGTCCAGTGTGCTGAATAGTGCCCTACAAGCGGCTGTCGCAGCGGCATACGAGGCCGTTCGTGGAGAACGTGAACATGTACCCGAGGAGATCGTGCCGGAAACGCCACCGAGCAGCGCAAGCAGCTCCCCGATCATACAGACAAACCAAAGCCACGTCGTGCCACCCAGCACCCCACCGCGAGTCTCTACTCCGGATTCGTTATATGCAGAAGGGTCTACGGTATTCGGTGATAATTCTCCATGTGAGGAGGACTCTGGAACGTCAGCGGTGAGAGAGATAATTGACCTTCTAACACTTGACTCCGACTCTGCTGTGTCCGTCCAGTCGATACCTAACCGACACGCCCGCGCCAAGATCCGCCACCAGCCGAAGACGAAAAGGGCGCAGTGGCTAGTTCCAAGGTCTAGAAAACGCAGAAACCTGGCAAAATGTGCGGTGACGAGGAGCGGCTCTATGATTTACCACGCGAAGACCGTCAAGGCGGCGAAGTTTAATCAGCTGCGGAACAGCCCCGAGATCAAGAAGGAGTTAGAGATCCTGCGCAATAAGCGGTCTACGTATTCGGATCCTGAACAGAAGCAGTGCCGAACTCTATGTAAGACTGTAGCCTGGCCAGCACAGATCGAGAGGATCTCCACGTGCAAACGCAACGGGGTGAAGTTTCCAGATATTGGGAGCTACGACTCGTGCAACTGCTTCGGTGACTGCTTTTGGGATACCTGTACGAACGTGGCATCGGCGTCCTTCTGCATGCCCCAATACTGCAAACTGGGCGCCATCTGCAGTAATGCACCTCGCACTCTAAGCTCGCTGAAGCTGTTCGATACTGGACGGGTGGGGCTCGGCGTGTACACGACCACGGATCTCGATATCGGAAACGTACTGGGTAAGTACTGCGGAGAGCTGTCAGAGCTTCCCGCAGTGGTGGAGGGGCAGCTACCACAGGCCGTGAAGACAAACACAGGGTACACGCTGCTCTACAACACCAGATCCGTGAACAATATCTACGTCTACGTAGACGCCTTGCGTTGTGGCTCTATTACACGCTTCATCTCTCACTCGTGCGAACCGAATGCCACCTTTCTGGAGCAGCAGACGCGCACTCGCGTCCGAGTCCTCGTGAAGATGATTAAGAATGTGCAGGCAGGCGCTCAGATCACCGTGCACTACGGCAACGAGCGCTGGTTCAAATGCGCCTGTGACATGTGCTGGAAGGAGCCGAGCAGAACGGGAGGCAGCAGTGGTGACGAGTAGGATCAGCTATCGGTGTATCTTGTCTAGTGCCCGCAGTTCTCTGTAGCTATCGTTCTGGAATTATAAGAAGGAGTATGAAAACGGTCATTTGCTCACTCGTATATTGATAGGATGAACGGTACAAAGTTATTCTGGCCATGTAACAGCACCTTCTCGGGGATCCATGCGCGCGGAATCACTCGAAGCTAAGCGCAGCTCCTATTGTCTTCGGACGTCCAAGATCAGGCAGAACTGACACTTCGCCCCGCTTCCTTTTACGACGATTGATCAAAACTTCGCGCCCGCTGCTATCCACGTGAGCTGTAACGCGCAATGCGAACAGTAGATGAACGCACGCGCCGAAGGCAAAAAAATAATCGCATGGACATTTCTGAGTCTGGACGTTCACGGGCCAGCCGTCGTCGGGCTCCCCCTCGTACTCCTTCCGCGCGTAGTTAATACCCATCTGCGCCGACACGGCTATCGTCTCCTCGCTGCGGCATCCTGACCTTCAGCAACGCCTAAGTATCGCTCCCGCACCATCTCAGACACCCTCCGTGCGAGGGTTTGTGCCGAAACCACCGCATACTCAAACGCTCTGGTGCTGCTGGACTGGTCCTGGCAACACCCGCTGAGTTCACATAGCAGCGTGCCCATCTTTATCCGTCGGCGCAGCGTATAGTCACGCTTTAAAAGTGCGTTGAAGGTCTCCGCCGGGTTGTTTGTGGAAGCAAACCCGCATGGCGTCGCAAACACCTGCCACGTCCTGAACGGTCTAACGACCCACTGCCCGTAGAAGTACTGAGCAAACGAAATTAGGGTCGGGTCAGCCATCCAGCGATCCAGAATACAGCGCAACATCTCCATATAGTGCCCTTTGTCTCGCGCAAAGTGCAAGTCGTATACTTCTCTAAGCACACGAGCATGTGTGTCCGAGGATAGAAGCTTGACCCGCTCCTGGACGTGCTTCATCACATGGAAGAAGCACATCAGGAAGCAAAATCGCGGGTTGTCCCCAAAGACTGATGCGAGAGCATTGAACTGAGCTCTATCGCCGTCAGCCATCGCGTACTGAACGGTCAAATGGTTTCCTGTGATCTACAAGTATAGGCGTCGTAGGGATAGCAGCGCTGCCTGGAACATTGGCTCAGTTTCTTGTGACATCACAAACAAAGCCACCAAGTGAAATCTGCGAGAGCGGTCTGAGACCCCGACTACCAACACGGGGTAGTCCATCTGGTTCGTCTTGTAGGTTCCATCCAGGTGGAGTATGAAGCTCTCAGGCGGAACCAGTAGCCGTAGCATCAGTGCTTTTGTAGTAATCCTAACTAGGAACGGTTTGTGGTCCGAGCCGTTGCCGATGAGGGGCAATCCAGCGATGTTTAGATCCCACGTGAACGTGACGGGCTCCGTCATGGACTTCGAGGCGTCGTAGGCGTGCTCGCGGACCCACTTCGTCAAGTCCTGGACGCGGTCGTGGTTTTCCATCTGCGTCCGGGCGTAGTGATTCACGAAGTTTTGCACCGTCTTCAGCGCTGGTAACTCCTCCAGTGGGGTAGCAAATTTGCGTGCCATCGCGTGTCTTATCCGCATGGGTCGCAGGTGGTTCTGGACCAAGTCCCGTCAAAACGCCTTCTGGACCTGGGTCAGCTTCTTGCGCACTGGGATTGGTAAGGATGAGGAGGCCGATGTGTGCTCTCCGAACTCGAAGACGGAGGCCCGCTCAGACTCCAAGCACGTCAGCATCTTTCCCCTCCATGTGCACCTCACGGGGCTCGCGTCGGTGCAGGACGCTGAACTGCATTCTACCAGTCGATACCGCATCTTGTGGTCGCCGCCTGGACGGATTGTACACGCCATCGCTTGGGACTTAGTACTGTGCTGACACGCACTGTTGTGTGGAGAGCAGCTTCTACGGTGCTGACACAGATTTGTTGTGCCATGGCCATACTGTATGGTGTCAGTAAGGCGTTCTCCAGTAAGGCGTTCTCGTCTTAAGAGTGCAGACCTTCAACGTCAGCGAGATTCTATTATAACTGCCCTTGCATCGAATTGCTGAACAGGTTGTGTATGCACTGACAATTTGTCGAAGCTTAACATACTGTCCGTCGATCCCACATGGGGAACCAGTCGCGGCTCGATATTGGAGGCGGCTTCATGGCCTTTCATTCTCCAACTCGCCTCGAAACGGACAGGAAAGTCCTGTCGTCTACAAACCTCTGTTATGGTCCGTGTCTTCGCTGCTGCGGCGTTGTCTGCTGCTATCCTGGCTGCTAGCGCCAAGGCCACCAACTTGTTTCTCGCTGCTGAGGCGCCGGACTACAACAACGAGGTGGTCGGCAATCTCTTGGCCAACGTCAGTGCCGTCCGTGGCGACGGTGAGGCGTACGCCGTCTTCGACTGGGACAACACGTGCATGTTCGGCGACATCTCGTACACGTCGGTGTTCTACCAGGTGAACAACCTCAACTTCCGCTTCACACCGGAGAACTTCGAGTCCATCTTCTCGCTTGGTTACAACGCCAGCAGCAGCGACATCTGCCTCGTTAACGGCACCAACTCGGTGATCGGTCAGGACGTGAATGGCACAGACGTGACACTAGCCACGACTCTGGCTGAGACTGCCAAGGACTACAAGGTGCTGTACGACGCCTATGTTGCCCCTAAATACGACTTAAGCAGCAGCGCTCAGAGCTCGAACGTTACGCTGGACGAGATCAAGGAGACGACCGAGTACCAGAACTTCCGTGCCAAGATGGGCTTCCTACTGTACAGTCTGGAGGTCATGGATGGCGGTGACGATTACTCGGAATGTTCCCAGTCTATCGCCATGACGGTATTCCCTCACCTTCTGGTCGGTATGACGGAGGATGAGATCAAGACGCTCATCCGCTCCAGTATCCGCTGGAACCTGGGCCAGGCGTTAGAGGAGCCCACGTACACGTCCACAGGCGACCTGGCGGTCGAGGGCGCGTACACCAAGGGACTACGCTTCTTCAATGGCCAAGAGTCGACGATGCGCGCTCTACGTGCCGCCGGTGTGGACGTGTACATCATCAGTGCCTCTCCTCAACTCTACGCCGCTGAGGCCGGCAACCTGCTCGGACTAGGCAACATGGTGCCGAACGACAACGTCTTCGGCGTCCGCTTCAAAACGGACGACGCCGGGCGATTCACCGGTCAACTGGTAGACAACTATCCCATCACGTGGGGTCCCGGCAAGGCCGAGATCGTCACCAGTATCCTGAAGCCGATCCACCAGGGTGCTCCCCCTATCTACGCGTCGGGCGACTCGGACGGCGACTATGAGATGATGGACACGGTCCGTGACGGCGTCGTGGACACCAACAACCGTCTCAAGGGCAACTCTTCGCGCATCAACGAGTTCTACGGAAAGGCCTGCGAGTTCTTTGGCACAACTGAGCCCAGCACTAACAACGCGTACCTCCTGCAAGGTCAGGACCAGGTCATCGGTTCGTGGATCACGTCCGGTTTCAGTACGGAGGACGGCGTCACGTACGAATCGGCCGTGGACTCGTACGACCACTGCGCCCACTACAAGTTCCTCGACGTGTAAAT